ATCTCCTTGCCACCAGCTGCTATTTCGTAATCTTCGGGATAGTGAGATGGGATTCGTATCGCATCCGAAATAATGTGATCGTCGAGCCAGCCGGCTAGTGTCGGGCCCCTGTCGTCGCACTTCGCGTTACGTGTCAGTGGGGCGAGGACCAGCTCAGTGGAAACAATACGAGTGTCCGGTCAACAACCATGGACAGGAAGAAGAGGAGCAGAAATTTCAGTAGTAGAGACATGCATTTGTTAGCCGATGTCATGAACACTGAAGTAAAAGTCATCGAAAATAAGCGACACGATGGAAGGAGTAATGAAGAACGAAAACGGTCTTGGAAGAACATTGTTACAGCCTGTAATGCAAGGTCAGAAGAAAAATGGGACTAGAAACAGCTGACACAGCTCTGGAGAGATATGAAAAGGACGGCCAAAAAGAACCATTAGCGGTTTAAACGGCAGCAAATGGGCACTGGTGGTGGACCGGATCCTGCGCCGTTGGAACGTCAGCCACCCCCGCGACACGCACATATTAAACTGATCACTCGGTAATAATCGTCCTTTGTGTGGCATTGAATTGGACACCGACGACGCCTCACCGGTGAAGTGACGGGGCGGGGTGGGGACGGGGGGTGACGGAGACGAACCGACGAGGGCAGACGAGTAATCTGAGATACGGCTGTTGCAAGATCATGCAGTAGACTGGCGGTCGGCCATACAGAGTGAAATAACACAAGGCGATTAGCATTATTGATGCTGATTGGCACGGCTTCAAACGCTGTTCTGGTTAGGTTAATGCATCACCACATCCCATTGTTACGGCTGTACTCATTGCATGTGTAAAAACGCTGATTGGGGGCCACCGGTCCCATAAATAACGGAATTACGCACTTGTTCGTTGGACCAGCTGATCGCCGCATCCCGATCAGCTGATCGGGAAGCCCTTTAAACTGGCGTGTAAGTCGGCATTTAAATATTTACACGCGTGTAGCTACCCACCAGTTAACCGCGGATGGAAGTCCCCGGGTAAAAGTTGGTGGGCAGCTACACGCGTGTAAGGAAGTTAGCCACCAAAATAAACGCGAGTTAACCGCAAACTGGAAGTCTCCAGCCTAATTGTAAGAGTGCTTTTGGACTTTCGTCCAAAAGAAGCAGTTAAATCCCCCTCCCCCCGTTTACTTATGATGGGGAGGTGGCAAAACTGACCTGACTTTAGGACAACAATAAAAAGTAGACACACAGAATGTAAGCAATAGCTAATGAGACCCTGAAAGTTTCCAGCTTGATCTGTTCACAACTCTCGCTGCGGTGAGACTGCAATATTTATCTGAGGTTGGGTGAATCCAAGTGACCTATTGACCTGACCTTACATGACCTGAGCTTGAAATTTTAGCACATGCTGGAGACATTATGCCCCAACAGGTAGGTACTGATAGTTTGATGATAGTTTGAGTAGCCGGCATAAGAAACTGAGTAAGTACGGGGTGCAAAAACGCCCTCAGCACGGCGAGGAATAATATAGTGCTGCAATAAAGAAGTGTCTTCGCTTTCAGCAGTAGTACGAATCCACAAAAACTTTCTTTAAACTGGAATGCAGACAGCAATAAAAAGTCGAAACCCAATATTTTTTGGGGGGAGAAACCTTTAGGCCAGGGGGTATGCCTCACCCCCAATCCCCCACCCTTGCTGAGTCAAAGACCAAATTTAAAGGTCAAAAGGTCACATTAGGTCAAATTTCAAAGTTGATATTTTTGCATATAATGGGTATTGATTCGATGCAGCTCGTCACGGCGAGTCTAATGGTGGTCTTTGTTTTGCGCTACGTTGTCTAGGATTGCTAAAATTGAGCTTGAAAATTTGACGGAATCAATTTTGAAGTTTTTTAGCTATAGCTTGGCCGAAAAAATTGTTTTGATTTTATAGGGTCAAAATCCAAAAATTTCAAAATTTCGAGACAGCGGTTTAGTAGCCCTGGTAATTCTACACCTTTTATGACTTAAACATTTTTATGTATCTTCAAAGCTAGGCCTCACGACTCTTCCCGCGAAACATTTTTTTTTTTTTGGTTCGAAAATGACAAAACATGACGTCACTCTTGCGATCAAACTATCATAACCTTTAGAAAATATTTTTGGTCGCCATGTGTAAAATTGATGCCCGGGAGGGTACTGAAAGTTTGGTGACGACCGGCGCCGCGGTTCTGGAGATATAGGTATCGAAAAATCTGGAGGGGGGGCGAAAAATAGCCCCCCCCCCCCTCACCAACACCAGGGCGCGTGTTAATATGTTGTGCCCATCCTCGGGGCATGCTCAAATGCCTTCCATTGTCATCCCCACGGCCACCATGCAACACCTGGTGCCTGGCTGGGCAGCTACCGTTATGTGAGAATAGCTCCTATTGGAGCATGCTCCCGTTGTGGGTGACCGTAGGCCCAGCTGGGTGGTGTCCGGAACGCGCCTCACAAGTGATAACTGGCAACTGGGCCATATAAAGCCAGCATGGGGTCCCTGAGGGGCTACGCTTACCACTAAGGGTCTCTGGTTCCCCGCCATCAGACTTGAAAAAATACCGTTTGAAAGGTTAGCGGCATGGCCTCTACCCAGCCAGCAATTTGGTTCGGCTCAAGTCCGTTTTGCCCCGGCAGCTCCGACATGCCAGAGTTGGGGCAGTGTAAACGGAACGCCGTCATAACAGGGGGTTTGCGTCGATATGGCTCTGTTCCGGTTAGCCAGCCTTTGCCGTAGCGCTCCGGAGTTGGTATGGTTTCGGACCGCCAAGTCTGGATAAAGACCGGCTCCCTGCCAAGGCGTGCTACGGCCAGGTCCGGCTGCCTCGTAGCTACCCTAGCCCGCGCCCCGCTGGGCTATTCAGCCATACGCGCCCTGCTGGGGGGGGGGGGCAGATTCTGCCCCCCCTGTCTAACTTCCGAACCGATGGTCGTAGAAAGACGGGGAAAACGGCAATCGAAAGCTCTCAACAAGGCGGATCTTAAGAGCCCAAAATTTTTTGCTTAAGTAGGTCAGAGGTCAGGTCAAGGTCAGGTCAAGGGTACAAAATGCAAGTTTCTACAGTATCGGCCTTGCACCGTAGTTGCCGAAGAATGGACTGAGACTGATTGCCCAAAACGTGTTCTTAGACTACCAAGACAATATTCGTTGCATACAATGTCATTCAAAGGTCAAGGTCAAGGTCAGGTCAGGTCAGGTCAGGTCACCAAAAACAAAATATAGAAAAGGACATGTGCGACACATGTTTTATGGTTCATTTTACTCATAGAATTCAATAGGCACACTCAATAAGTGATATGGACCACCTCTGGATGAATTTCAGGTCGAGGTCAGGTCAAGGTCAGGTCAAGTGAGATCAAATTTTGAAGTTGGTTGTTAAGGCCCAAAAAGGTGTCTATCTGATGCAGTTTTTCACGGCGAATCGAATGGTGCTATTTTTGTTTCCGTACGAGGTCTAGAGCTTCCAAAAAAATCATTTTTCAAAAAATTTGTGTGTCGTGACGTCATAAAATTTTGAATAACTCCCACATTTTTGAACCGATTCTTCTGAAAATTGGTATGTAGATGCACATTGACCACTTCTCTGATATATATTCCGGTTTTTTCGATACACTCAAAATTTTGGATTTTATAACTATTTTTCCAAAAAAATCAGTTTTTTGAAAAATTTTGGGCCAAAATCCAAAATTTTCAAAAAACCGAGATAGCCATTTGATAGACAACGTGGAATCACGTATAACCTTTTATGTTACGTCTTGATTCCTTTAAAAATGAAGATGTTAGCGGCGTTTGAAATTTTGCCGTTTTTTAGGCGAAAATGGCGAACATGACGTCACTAAAACGTCAATTTCTCAAAAATTTTCCGACGGATTTCGTTCAAATTTTCAGGGAACGTGTCAAATTGATGTATGATAAGGTACTGAAAGTTTGACGTCGCTGGCGTAACGCGTTTAGAAGTTATTGGCGAAAAACGGGAGGGGGGGGGGCAGATTCTGCCCCCCCCCCCCAGCGGGGCGCGGGCTAGGTTATTGTGACTGAAGTACGATTGAGGCACGGCACGGCTGATCAGAGGTGCGGAGCCGGAGCCGGAGCTGGAGCCGGAGCCGCCGGGGCCGACACATTTTGCCCGGAGCCGGAGCCGATTTTTTCTCCAAAGCCAGAGCCGGAGCCGGAGCTGTCTGAAATTTCCACGGCTCCGCATCCCTGCGGCTGATGCGGCATAAGTCCGGCTGTGTTGTGGGCGAGCTCCGGGATCGTGTGTCAGCTCCAGTAGAGCTCCAGACCTTACCCGTACTTCAGCCGGGGTAATTGCCGAATCTACCCAGAGTACAACCAGATGCGGCCCAGACCAATTTCGCTGGCTGGGTAAAAGGCTGACGTAGGTCCTAAGAGGGCGGGGGCCCTCAGGCGTGGACCCCACGGAGACCCATGTGGTTCACCAAAGGCATATGCGGGGCCCTCGACATGAGGCCTTAAGAAGTCAGAGCGGGCTAAAAAAGCGATAGGGGCCCTCAAGAACCTAGGTGGGGCCCTCAGACCAGCGTTGATCAATCTGAGGCGGGGAAGGGCCCTCAGGCTGACGTGTGGCCCATCGAAGAATGACGAAGGCCCTCAGAAGCCGGTATTGCCCTCAAAGATCGCCGAAGGGCGCTCAGAAACACTTCATTTTGACTTCATTATTTTTTCACGTGAACTATTGTGAAAGTTGAAGATGCAAGGTGCACAAAAGCTGCGGATAACGGATAACCACCTGTGTGCCTAGTGAATGGCATGCCCGGTGTATCATAAAATGTTCTCCGAAAATAAGCCCGCCGTTTGTTTTCTTCCTGCGCACGATTTACGAAAAAATCGCCTCGACTTCGAACGGACAAAGGGCTCGCTAAATCCTCTCAGCTAACTCCCGTTGAGACCCTTCTTGAGAGGTGTAGAGCGCAGTCGAAGGCGCCTGCAGCCGGACGCACGCCGGGCCGTTCGCGCCACGCAGCAGGACCGATGGCAAACACGTCACACCCAGACGTTTATTGGCTCTGATCGGTGCACATCTCGGCGCCCGCCAGCCACAGCCAGTCGGCACTGCCGACCCCTCTATCACAGGACTATATCCCCCTATCACAGACGGATTACGATTATATCACAGCGGCAAGGAATCCACACATTTCAATCGACGCTCTCAAATCAGCAACGAGCAAGACACATATTCATCTACATCTACGAGCTCGGCACCAGAGATGCCACCGGCCTCAGTGGCCGGCGCTAGGCGTGCACACACATACGGTACGGCTCACAGAGCGGCCGGCCGGCCGGTCGGCAGGTGGCGCCGGGCGACCGCGCCGGCGGGCCGGCCACCGCGGGCGGCCACCGGTACTCACAGGACGCCGTGGCGGCGGCAGCAGGCGGCGGCGACCGGGCGGCGCCGGCCGGCGACGGCGGACAGGAGTCACAGGAGCCGGACAGGATGCGGGACGGGGAGATGAGCTCCAGCTCGGCGTCGGCGCAGGAGGCGTCTGCCGGGCGGCGCGACGGCGGCGTCAGAGACGGCCGGCGGGTGCGGCCGGCGCCGGGGCTCGGGAGGGCGCGGCGCAGCGGCGCGGGCGGCCGCTGCCAGCCGTCCATACCGTTACCTGAGCGAGGAGATCGTGTCGAGCGGTGCGGAGGCGGCGAGAGAGCGGCGGCACGCGCCGGCGGCCGGCGCGCCGGGGGCGGCGAGGCCGGCCGCTGCGGGCTGCCGCCGGCCGGCGAGGCGACTCGCTCCCTCTCGCGGTCTCGGACCTTCTCTGGCAGCGGCGGCGGCGGCGGCGGAGACGCCGGAGACGGAGACGGAGAGCGCGGCTGAGACTGTCTCACCGGCGACGCCTGAAACACGAACCAACGGAGGCACGTTACTGATAATGAACAGAAACGAAACATGCACATAATTAGTGGCTTCAGCAATAAATCAGATCGTCTTTCGCTGTGAACATCTATCGTCCGCTTAGATGATAGTTCCAAATGGGTATTACCGAAAATTAATTGGACGTTAAAATAAGACGTTCGTAGCATGAACTTCCAACGGATCCAAAAACACGAATGTCACAGCCCCATCAATTTCCTCCAGTTACAGTCCACCAGTGTATCGCTCCTCACCTGAATCGGCTCTTTTGGCGGCGTCTGGAAGGCGGCGGCGACCTCCGGAGCCGGAGCGGGAGCCGGAGCGGGAGCGGGAGCGGGGGCGGGGGCGGCCGGCGGCTCCACAGCCGGCGGCAGTTCGGCCGGTGGCGGGGTGGCCGCGGCCGGTGGGGGTGTCCCGGCAGCCGGCGGCGCCGCGGCGGCCGCCTCCCGCTCCCGGGCCGCCACCTCCCAGTAGTCAGTCTCCTTTCTGGCGGGGGACGGCCGCGGTCAGCACAGCTCACTGGGACCGGTAAACACCGGCAGAAGGACAATGGTACATTACCACAGCTCACTGGGACCGGTAAACACCGGCAGAAGGACAATGGTACATTACCACAGCTCACTGGGACCGGCAGACACCGGCAGCAGGACAATGGTACATTACCACAGCTCACTGGGACCGGTAAACACCGGCAGGACAATGGTGCATTACCACAGCTCACTGGGACCGGTAAACACCGGCAGAAGGACAATGGTACATTACCACAGCTCACTGGGACCGGTAAACACCGGCAGAAGGACAATGGTACATTACCACAGCTCACTGGGACCGGTAAACACCGGCAGAAGGACAATGGTACATTACCACAGCTCACTGGGACCGGTAAACACCGGCAGAAGGACAATGGTACATTACCACAGCTCACTGGGACCGGTAAACACCGGCAGAAAGACAATGGTACATTACCACAGCTCACTGGGACCGGTAAACACCGGCAGCAGGACAATGCTACATCACCGGCCACCCAAGATATCCAACGAATACACATGTTTGATTATAAATAAGACAAGCAGCGCTGGAAACTATCATTCTAGCAGGACTTACTTAGTGCAGCTTAGTGTGTTAAGTTTAGCAATTACTCCGCTGTCTAATATCGGAATGCGGAAGGCCGTGGCGCGGTACTCACTCGAACTTGACGACGCGTTTCCGGATGAATCTGTTGGGGATGATGTTATCCGGCGAGACGTCCGTCTGGTGGCACTCGGGGCATTCGCTGTTCTCCGACTCGACCAGCGCCGTGCGCAGACCTGAGGGAAGGCAGAGGTAGGGGGTTATAACGGGGTGATAGTGTCGGACGTCCACAAACCGGCGGCGGGTCTGGCACTTACTGTTGCGGCAGGGAGGGGTTACTCTACATAGTGTCAGTAGGGCAGTCAGACCGGTTGTTTTACAATTTCCCGACTCCCGAGTCCAATTTTGTGGGTGTACAGCTCAATGAACGCGCGATTAAGGGCTTACATTACAAGCAAATTGATCCTAAGGAAATGTATAATGATGAAATATATAAATGAAATATTTATAGACTGATCGTGTCAGTACCGAAAGCAGTCCTGTTGTTAACAAAAGCACAACAAAACGCAGGCTTGTCCACCAAACTTATGCCTGTCCCTTCGCGTCCGTCAGTCGAAATAAAACAATACCGTCATACGAGTCATGCACTCACCACACCCGGCCAATCACCCGACACAAAACACTCGTCACATACGCTCCCTCAAACACACTACAACACTTACATTCGTCGCAGAAGTTTTCGCCGCAGCACGGCGACATGACGGCCTCGCGGATCAGGTCCTTGCAGACCTTGCAGCAGAGGTCGTCGGGCACCTGGGGACGCGTGCTCGGAGGCGGCGTGTCCATCCGACCCTGCTGTTTATCCTTGTACGTGGAGCTGACGAGGACGGAAACGAACGGGTGCTGTTAGATGACAAACTCGGGCGTATGGTGACTAAGGCTGGCCCGCTCAACAACAGTAAATACTAAAATAGCGTACGATAAATTAACTTAAACTTAGAGCTCCCCAAGGACAAATAATAGAGTCTACTAATTAATTTAGCAAAGTCAGAAAAAAACTCGCCTCGTTACTTGGGCTTCTGAATTAATTATGAAACATTTCGTCAGCCAGTTTCCATAAAATATAAGATACCTTCCTTGGCATTCAAATAAGTTAAACAAACTACCACGCTAAAGCCCTACCAAATCTAGGATATTCCTCTAACAACCTCCAGCAACTACTTGTATCAATCCCATTTATCAGAGAATCCTTGAATTTTGAATGAACGACTTGACGCCCTGGCTTATGCCAGCGCTACGTGACATTGGCAACAAATGGACTAGGAATGCTATATCAAACGCCAGCGTTGGCGAAAAAAAAAACTTCCCAAAGACATTTATAAAGAGTGACACGACGAAAACACATCACAAAACACTCTGCGACAGCGTCGCCCGGCGACGAGCGCCGGTCGATCGCGGTACTCACTAGTCGACCCTGTGTACAGCCAGACTGCCGTCGGGCGCTATCATGGCGCCCGGCATCTTGGGGTCGTTGACGGGCACCATGAAACTGCGCGGGATGCCGGTGGCCTTCTTGACCTCCGCCTGCGGGGACAGGAGCACACGGGGTCAGACAGGCGGCCAATGAGAAACAAAGGAGAATAACATGCAAACGAGTTCAAACTATAAAGAACCAAAACAAAAGCTAGTTCAATGAAAGTTCACATTCACTAGGACTAGGCATTGGACTAGGACTTGGCGTCATATATATTTACAGTGGTCTGTGGCCCGGCAGATGCCAGAGGTGGAATAAGTAAGTTTCTTTGTTTGGGGACTCCCAGCTTTTACGAAATGTTGAACTTCCAGAGCACGACTCCTGCACAGCGTAAAGGCGAACTGCCCCGTCCAAGCAATACATCAGCTCCAATTCCTATCCAAGGCAGCGCACGAGCACTGCCGGCCTGTAGTTTATTAAGTCAGTAGTAAAAAAAAAAATATCGTATCTGCACCCACGGCCACGGCGGGCAAAACGCTGCTGATATACGGGCACCCGGCTACGAGTCCGATTGGACGGTATATACTTACCGCCGCGAGCGGACAGTTTTGTGCGTAGTGGCCGAAGTTGAAGCAGCGGTAGCACTTGTGGCTGGAGGGCGCCGGCGTCAGCAAATGGGCGCCCTTGTACTTGACGTATCTGTCGGACAGGAGGCACAGTGTTCAGTCACAAACAGTCACAGACACAGTGTTCAGTCCGCGCCAGGCGCCGGCCGCCAGCCACACGTGGTGACCGACGGCCGGCGCAACTCCAGTTACGTAACACACGATAAAGTGGTGGCGAAATGACTGAGCATACACGAAATTCTGCGACTCGAACAGTCAGCAAAAACGATAAATCACAGCTTCTACCGACACCTTACGGGTATTCGGGGTTTCTTACCTGGAAGGGTCGTACTGGCTGGTCGACTGACTCATCATGTGCTTGATCTTGTCCTCCTCTGAGCCGCCAATCTTGGTGAGATCACTCTGTCAAAGCGAAAACGCACATGTAAATGAAAACGTTGATGTAGAAGATTGGCAGCTCGCATGTATTTATATCTCACAGACAATACAACCAGTAAAACGCCTTTTGGGCGAACAGCGAGCGAGCGAGATAGTGAGCCCTGCACGTGGCGAAGGGCGAGAGGGTACTTCCAACGGGCATGTGCAAAGCACCCTTCTAACCGGTCGCTAGCGGTGTGCCCAATTTGAACGCAATCGGCCCAGCCGTTCCTGAGATCTGGAAGCGGCATTCTGCACGTGCGCACGTGCAAATGGGGTCCAAAATGACTTTTGCACTGCACCCTACTAACCGGTCTCCAACCGTGTACCAAATTTGAGCTCAATCGGCCCAGCCGTTCTCGAGATCTGGAAACGCCCCCTGCACGTGCGCACGTGCAGTAGCACCCTAACCGCAACACATGGGAATGCATTGCCTGGTGGGTGCCTACCTGTATGCCAAGTTTCAGCGAAATCGCCCCAGTAATTACCGAGTTACTGAAATGGGAACAAATTTGGCACCTCTTCTTTTTGTATTTTGCACGTGCAGTGGGGGTCACTCACATAGATCAAGAGTATCCGACCTTTGGTAGAAGGGATGCAGCTACACTATAAAAATTACCGCAAGACAATCGCTCAAGCCGCTGCTGAGATATGGGCCTATCAAAATCATTACTTTTGCAAAACTGCTTGAACACCTTTGACTTTTCACGGTCACTGAGATGTATCAAAAGTAGTCAATTACGGGGTAGAAGGGATGGGGCTACCCAGCAAAAAAGACCGCAGGCCCATCGGTCCAGCGGTTGCTGAGATATAAGCCTCTCAAAAGCGTTACAGGCCGGGCCGGGCCGGGCCGGGCCGGGCCGCTCATACTGAGATTTTTCCGTTATATTGAAAAGACTTCGCTTCGCTCGCTGCGCTCGCTCGCTCGTAATCAGCCATGAGGACGGTTATTTGTTTTGTGCCACAAAACTTAAATACCGAGTACTTTTCATGACTTGCCACGGTGAAACCTGTGTCCGACGGAAGTTGGTTGTGTCTGATAGTGTCGTCGTCCGTCGACGCGGGAAGTCCCCGACGGTCCCCACTCGGGCCCGTCCTATCCCCCACCCTACCTCAGCCGCCCATTACTCACCCCCGAGAACACAGCCGAGCCGGAGACCGCGTCACTGCTGGGCATCTGTGGCGGCTGAAACACACACAGACAGCAGCAGTTAGACGCCACGTTACGGTTCACCGACGTACTGGGACATACATCCCGTCCAATCACCGGAGTGTGCAGGTCACTTTCAGTTACAAAGCGCAATTTCTGGACGAAGAACAAAATACGATAAAATGACACCCCCCCCCCCTCCTCCCGCCCAGAGAAAAACTACAACTGCTTTGATAAACATGTTCCGTTCCAGCTTTAGGTAGAGCTGAGAGAGCTCTCTCCGCTTTCTCTTTAGCACTGGAATAGCTGATAAGTTGCTTCACCAGAGCCCCGACCGGAAACCTTGAGCGTGACGGTTTTTACTGTGAAAGTATGCTGCGGAACAGCCGGGTACCGGTTTGACCGACCAACCGACCCACCTACGGGCCAACGAACTGACCGGGACCGCACTCACCAGCACGGCAGCAGCGAACGACGCCGAAATGGTGGGCGTCTTGTTGGCGTTTGGATCCCTGTAACAGCAAAGTCAACATCAGTTGTCGTCACAAAGCCAATTTCTCCATGCACATGTATGTATATTGTATGTGACTACGAAAATTATCCGATTTCAATTACCATAGTAAGCCATCACTTTTCGAGCAAGATTGAACAGGACATTTGACGGCTAATCTGCAAATGAAAGGCTATGGTCCATGTCAAATAATGATTATATCATCCGAAGATCAGAAGCTCTTTACGTACCAGAACTTTTGACAGGTGCTCAATTGGTGGCCGGAACACGCTTTACCACCAGAGAGGTGTTCTTAGGGATCGCGTGTCGTTCTTCTTGTCCTCTGCAACAGAGGAAAGCAGGCCCCGTCGTCAACCACACACACACGGCTGCTGGACCCCGAAACACGTCACTGGATGTCGGTGGGGTCCGGCTCCAAGCAGTGGCGGATCCAGGGGGGGGGGGCAAAATGGGCATTTGCCCCCCCCCCCCAAAACGGCATAGTTTTAACATTAGCCTATTGACGATGCATGGAAAGAATCGATAGATTGTTATGGTTTGCCCCCCCCCCCCGCAAAAAAAAAACTCTGAGCTGGATCCGCCTCTGGCTCCAAGTGGGGTCCAGTGGGTGGGGAAAGTAGTCGTCTCTGTGCAAAGGTTATACACATGAGTAACTGTTTTGTACGATTGCCAGTGGAACTGCGAAGCAGATTTCAAGTACTTCAGCACGATAACATTTGTTATCATTAGTGGTGTGTAAAGTGGTTAGCAAATATGTAGAATGTTCTTCGTCCTGTTGTGAGTGTAAATAAAGCGGTACCGTAAGGTGGGGCTATTTGAGACAGTGGGGCTATTTGAGACTGTATTTAAAATCGCTATAAAAGAAGATCTTGATTTTTATGTATTTTTTGCTCAGGGAGGTGTGGAATCGAGCAGTAAAAAGCCTGAGCAAAAAATTAAGCATTAATTTCAAGTGGTTTTTCTTTTATAGCAATTTTAAATACTGTCTCAAATAGCCCCACTGTCTCAAATAGCCCCACCTTACGGTACCGCTTTATTTACACTCACAACAGGACGAAGAACATTCTACATATTTGCTAACCACTTTACACACCACTAATGATAACAAATGTTATCGTGCTGAAGTACTTATGAAATCTGCTTCGCAGTTCCACTGGCAATCGTACAAAACAGTTACTCATGTGTATAACCTTTGCACAGAGACGACTACTTTCCCCACCCACTGGACCCCACTTGGAGCCAGAGGCGGATCCAGCTCAGAGTTTTTTTTTTGGGGGGGGGGGGGCAAACCATAACAATCTATCGATTCTTTCCATGCATCGTCAATAGGCGTAATGTTAAAACTATGCCGTTTTGGGGGGGGGGGGCAAATGCCCATTTTGCCCCCCCCCCCCTGGATCCGCCACTGCTTGGAGCCGGACACCCACCGGACATCCAGTGACGTGTTCGGGGTCCAGCAGCCGTGTGTGTGTGGTTGACGACGGGGCCTGCTTTCCTCTGTTGCAGAGTACAAGAAGAACGACACGCTGATCCCTAAGAACACCTCTCTGGTGGTAAAGCGTGTTCCGGCCACCAATGGAGCACCTGTCAAAAAGTTCTGGTACGTAAAGAGCTTCTGATCTTCGGATGATAATCATTATTTGACATGGACCATAGCCTTTCATTTGCAGATTAGCCGTCAAATGTCCTGTTCAATCTTGCTCGAAAAAGTGATGGCTTACTATGGTAATTGAAATCGGATAATTTTCGTAGTCACATACAATATACATACATGTGCATGGAGAAATTGGCTTTGTGACGACAACTGATGTTGACTTTGCTGTTACAGGGATCCAAACGCCAACAAGACGCCCACCATTTCGGCGTCGTTCGCTGCTGCCGTGCTGGTGAGTGCGGTCCCGGTCAGTTCGTTGGCCCGTAGGTGGGTCGGTTGGTCGGTCAAACCGGTACCCGGCTGTTCCGCAGCATACTTTCACAGTAAAAACCGTCACGCTCAAGGTTTCCGGTCGGGGCTCTGGTGAAGCAACTTATCAGCTATTCCAGTGCTAAAGAGAAAGCGGAGAGAGCTCTCTCAGCTCTACCTAAAGCTGGAACGGAACATGTTTATCAAAGCAGTTGTAGTTTTTCTCTGGGCGGGAGGAGGGGGGGGGGGTGTCATTTTATCGTATTTTGTTCTTCGTCCAGAAATTGCGCTTTGTAACTGAAAGTGACCTGCACACTCCGGTGATTGGACGGGATGTATGTCCCAGTACGTCGGTGAACCGTAACGTGGCGTCTAACTGCTGCTGTCTGTGTGTGTTTCAGCCGCCACAGATGCCCAGCAGTGACGCGGTCTCCGGCTCGGCTGTGTTCTCGGGGGTGAGTAATGGGCGGCTGAGGTAGGGTGGGGGATAGGACGGGCCCGAGTGGGGACCGTCGGGGACTTCCCGCGTCGACGGACGACGACACTATCAGACACAACCAACTTCCGTCGGACACAGGTTTCACCGTGGCAAGTCATGAAAAGTACTCGGTATTTAAGTTTTGTGGCACAAAACAAATAACCGTCCTCATGGCTGATTACGAGCGAGCGAGCGCAGCGAGCGAAGCGAAGTCTTTTCAATATAACGGAAAAATCTCAGTATGAGCGGCCCGGCCCGGCCCGGCCGGCCCGGCCTGTAACGCTTTTGAGAGGCTTATATCTCAGCAACCGCTGGACCGATGGGCCTGCGGTCTTTTTTGCTGGGTAGCCCCATCCCTTCTACCCCGTAATTGACTACTTTTGATACATCTCAGTGACCGTGAAAAGTCAAAGGTGTTCAAGCAGTTTTGCAAAAGTAATGATTTTGATAGGCCCATCTCAGCAGCGGCTTGAGCGATTGTCTTGCGGTAATTTTTATAGTGTAGCTGCATCCCTTCTACCAAAGGTCGGATACTCTTGATCTATGTGAGTGACCCCCACTGCACGTGCAAAATACAAAAAGAAGAGGTGCCAAATTTGTTCCCATTTCAGTAACTCGGTAATTACTGGGGCGATTTCGCTGAAACTTGGCATACAGGTAGGCACCCACCAGGCAATGCATTCCCATGTGTTGCGGTTAGGGTGCTACTGCACGTGCGCACGTGCAGGGGCGTTTCCAGATCTCGAGAACGGCTGGGCCGATTGAGCTCAAATTTGGTACACGGTTGGAGACCGGTTAGTAGGGTGCAGTGCAAAAGTCATTTTGGACCCCATTTGCACGTGCGCACGTGCAGAATGCCGCTTCCAGATCTCAGGAACGGCTGGGCCGATTGCGTTCAAATTGGGCACACCGCTAGCGACCGGTTAGAAGGGTGCTTTGCACATGCCCGTTGGAAGTACCCTCTCGCCCTTCGCCACGTGCAGGGCTCACTATCTCGCTCGCTCGCTGTTCGCCCAAAGGCGTTTTACTGGTTGTATTGTCTGTGAGATATAAATACATGCGAGCTGCCAATCTTCTACATCAACGTTTTCATTTACATGTGCGTTTTCGCTTTGACAGAGTGATCTCACCAAGATTGGCGGCTCAGAGGAGGACAAGATCAAGCACATGATGAGTCAGTCGACCAGCCAGTACGACCCTTCCAGGTAAGAAACCCCGAATACCCGTAAGGTGTCGGTAGAAGCTGTGATTTATCGTTTTTGCTGACTGTTCGAGTCGCAGAATTTCGTGTATGCTCAGTCATTTCGCCACCACTTTATCGTGTGTTACGTAACTGGAGTTGCGCCGGCCGTCGGTCACCACGTGGGCTGGCGGCCGGCGCCTGGCGCGGACTGAACACTGTGTCTGTGACTGTTTGTGACTGAACACTGTGCCTCCTGTCCGACAGATACGTCAAGTACAAGGGCGCCCATTTGCTGACGCCGGCGCCCTCCAGCCACAAGTGCTACCGCTGCTTCAACTTCGGCCACTACGCACAAAACTGTCCGCTCGCGGCGGTAAGTATATACCGTCCAATCGGACTCGTAGCCGGGTGCCCGTATATCAGCAGCGTTTTGCCCGCCGTGGCCGTGGGTGCAGATACGATATTTTTTTTTTACTACTGACTTAATAAACTACAGGCCGGCAGTGCTCGTGCGCTGCCTTGGATAGGAATTGGAGCTGATGTATTGCTTGGACGGGGCAGTTCGCCTTTACGCTGTGCAGGAGTCGTGCTCTGGAAGTTCAACATTTCGTAAAAGCTGGGAGTCCCCAAACAAAGAAACTTACTTATTCCACCTCTGGCATCTGCCGGGCCACAGACCACTGTAAATATATATGACGCCAAGTCCTAGTCCAATGCCTAGTCCTAGTGAATGTGAACTTTCATTGAACTAGCTTTTGTTTTGGTTCTTTATAGTTTGAACTCGTTGCATGTTATTCTCCTTTGTTTCTCATTGGCCGCCTGTCTGACCCCGTGTGCTCCTGTCCCCGCAGGCGGAGGTCAAGAAGGCCACCGGCATCCCGCGCAGTTTCATGGTGCCCGTCAACGACCCCAAGATGCCGGGCGCCATGATAGCGCCCGACGGCAGTCTGGCTGTACACAGGGTCGACTAGTGAGTACCGCGATCGACCGGCGCTCGTCGCCGGGCGACGCTGTCGCAGAGTGTTTTGTGATGTGTTTTCGTCGTGTCACTCTTTATAAATGTCTTTGGGAAGTTTTTTTTTCGCCAACGCTGGCGTTTGATATAGCATTCCTAGTCCATTTGTTGCCAATGTCACGTAGCGCTGGCATAAGCCAGGGCGTCAAGTCGTTCATTCAAAATTCAAGGATTCTCTGATAAATGGGATTGATACAAGTAGTTGCTGGAGGTTGTTAGAGGAATATCCTAGATTTGGTAGGGCTTTAGCGTGGTAGTTTGTTTAACTTATTTGAATGCCAAGGAAGGTATCTTATATTTATGGAAACTGGCTGACGAAATGTTTCATAATTAATTCAGAAGCCCAAGTAACGAGGCGATTTTTTTCTGACTTTGCTAAATTAATTAGTAGACTCTATTATTGTCCTTGGGGAGCTCTAAGTTTAAGTTAATTTATCGTACGCTATTTAGTATTTACTGTTGTTGAGCGGGCCAGCCTTAGTCACCATACGCCCGAGTTTGTCATCTAACAGCACCCGTTCGTTTCCGTCCTCGTCAGCTCCACGTACAAGGATAAACAGCAGGGTCGGATGGACACGCCGCCTCCGAGCACGCGTCCCCAGGTGCCCGACGACCTCTGCTGCAAGGTCTGCAAGGACCTGATCCGCGAGGCCGTCATGTCGCCGTGCTGCGGCGAAAACTTCTGCGACGAATGTAAGTGTTTGTGTGTTTGAGGGAGCGTATGTGACGAGTGTTTTGTGTCGGGTGATTGGCCGGGTGTGGTGAGTGCATGACTCGTATGACGGTATTGTTTTATTTCGACTGACGGACGCGAAGGGACAGGCATAAGTTTGGTGGACAAGCCTGCGTTTTGTTGTGCTTTTGTTAACAACAGGACTGCTTTCGGTACTGACACGATCAGTCTATAAATATTTCATTTATATATTTCATCATTATACATTTCCTTAGGATCAATTTGCTTGTAATGTAAGCCCTTAATCGCGCGTTCATTGAGCTGTACACCCACAAAATTGGACTCGGGAGTCGGGAAATTGTAAAACAACCGGTCTGACTGCCCTACTGACACTATGTAGAGTAACCCCTCCCTGCCGCAACAGTAAGTGCCAGACCCGCCGCCGGTTTGTGGACGTCCGACACTATCACCCCGTTATAACCCCCTACCTCTGCCTTCCCTCAGGTCTGCGCACGGCGCTGGTCGAGTCGGAGAACAGCGAATGCCCCGAGTGCCACCAGACGGACGTCTCGCCGGATAACATCATCCCCAACAGATTCATCCGGAAACGCGTCGTCAAGTTCGAGTGAGTACCGCGCCACGGCCTTCCGCATTCCGATATTAGACAGCGGAGTAATTGCTAAACTTAACACACTAAGCTGCACTAAGTAAGTCCTGCTAGAATGATAGTTTCCAGCGCTGCTTGTCTTATTTATAATCAAACATGTGTATTCGTTGGATATCTTGGGTGGCCGGTGATGTAGCATTGTCCTGCTGCCGGTGTTTACCGGTCCCAGTGAGCTGTGGTAATGTACCATTGTCTTTCTGCCGGTGTTTACCGGTCCCAGTGAGCTGTGGTAATGTACCATTGTCCTTCTGCCGGTGTTTACCGGTCCCAGTGAGCTGTGGTAATGTACCATTGTCCTTCTGCCGGTGTTTACCGGTCCCAGTGAGCTGTGGTAATGTACCATTGTCCTTCTGCCGGTGTTTACCGGTCCCAGTGAGCTGTGGTAATGTACCATTGTCCTTCTGCCGGTGTTTACCGGTCCCAGTGAGCTGTGGTAATGCACCATTGTCCTGCCGGTGTTTACCGGTCCCAGTGAGCTGTGGTAATGTACCATTGTCCTGCTGCCGGTGTCTGCCGGTCCCAGTGAGCTGTGGTAATGTACCATTGTCCTTCTGCCGGTGTTACCGGTCCCAGTGAGCTGTGGTAATGTACCATTGTCCTTCTGCCGGTGTTTACCGGTCCCAGTGAGCTGTGCTGACCGCGGCCGTCCCCCGCCAGAAAGGAGACTGACTACTGGGAGGTGGCGGCCCGGGAGCGGGAGGCGGCCGCCGCGGCGCCGCCGGCTGCCGGGACACCCCCACCGGCCGCGGCCACCCCGCCACCGGCCGAACTGCCGCCGGCTGTGGAGCCGCCGGCCGCCCCCGCCCCCGCTCCCGCTCCCGCTCCGGCTCCCGCTCCGGCTCCGGAGGTCGCCGCCGCCTTCCAGACGCCGCCAAAAGAGCCGATTCAGGTGAGGAGCGATACACTGGTGGACTGTAACTGGAGGAAATTGATGGGGCTGTGACATTCGTGTTTTTGGATCCGTTGGAAGTTCATGCTACGAACGTCTTATTTTAACGTCCAATTAATTTTCGGTAATACCCATTTGGAACTATCATCTAAGCGGACGATAGATGTTCACAGCGAAAGACGATCTGATTTATTGCTGAAGCCACTAATTATGTGCATGTTTCGTTTCTGTTCATTATCAGTAACGTGCCTCCGTTGGTTCGTGTTTCAGGCGTCGCCGGTGAGACAGTCTCAGCCGCGCTCTCCGTCTCCGTCTCCGGCGTCTCCGCCGCCGCCGCCGCCGCTGCCAGAGAAGGTCCGAGACCGCGAGAGGGAGCGAGTCGCCTCGCCGGCCGGCGGCAGCCCGCAGCGGCCGGCCTCGCCGCCCCCGGCGCGCCGGCCGCCGGCGCGTGCCGCCGCTCTCTCGCCGCCTCCGCACCGCTCGACACGATCTCCTCGCTCAGGTAACGGTATGGACGGCTGGCAGCGGCCGCCCGCGCCGCTGCGCCGCGCCTCCCGAGCCCCGGCGCCGGCCGCACCCGCCGGCCGTCTCTGACGCCGCCGTCGCGCCGCCCGGCAGACGCCTCCTGCGCCGACGCCGAGCTGGAGCTCATCTCCCCGTCCCGCATCCTGTCCGGCTCCTGTGACTCCTGTCCGCCGTCGCCGCGCCGGCGCCGCCCGGTCGCCGCCGCCTGCCGCCGCCGCCACGGCGTCCTGTGAGTACCGGTGGCCGCCCGCGGTGGCCGGCCCGCCGGCGCGGTCGCCCGGCGCCACCTGCGACCGGCCGGCCGGCCGCTCTGTGAGCCGTACCGTATGTGTGTGCACGCCTAGCGCCGGCCACTGAGGCCGGTGGCATCTCTGGTGCCGAGCTCGTAGATGTAGATGAATATGTGTCTTGCTCGTTGCTGATTTGAGAGCGTCGATTGAAATGTGTGGATTCCTTGCCGCTGTGATATAATCGTAATCCGTCTGTGATAGGGGGATATAGTCCTGTGATAGAGGGGTCGGCAGTGCCGACTGGCTGTGGCTGGCGGGCGCCGAGATGTGCACCGATCAGAGCCAATAAACGTCTGGGTGTGACGTGTTTGCCATCGGTCCTGCTGCGTGGCGCGAACGGCCCGGCGTGCGTCCGGCTGCAGGCGCCTTCGACTGCGCTCTACACCTCTCAAGAAGGGTCTCAACGGGAGTTAGCTGAGAGGATTTAGCGAGCCCTTTGTCCGTTCGAAGTCGAGGCGATTTTTTCGTAAATCGTGCGCAGGAAGAAAACAAACGGCGGGCTTATTTTCGGAGAACATTTTATGATACACCGGGCATGCCATTCACTAGGCACACAGGTGGTTATCCGTTATCCGCAGCTTTTGTGCACCTTGCATCTTCAACTTTCACAATAGTTCACGTGAAAAAATAATGAAGTCAAAATGAAGTGTTTCTGAGCGCCCTTCGGCGATCTTTGAGGGCAATACCGGCTTCTGAGGGCCTTCGTCATTCTTCGATGGGCCACACGTCAGCCTGAGGGCCCTTCCCCGCCTCAGATTGATCAACGCTGGTCTGAGGGCCCCACCTAGGTTCTTGAGGGCCCCTATCGCTTTTTTAGCCCGCTGACTTCTTAAGGCCTCATGTCGAGGGCCCCGCATATGCCTTTGGTGAACCACATGGGTCTCCGTGGGGTCCACGCCTGAGGGCCCCCGCCCTCTTAGGACCTACGTCAGCCTTTTACCCAGCCAGCGAAATTGGTCTGGGCCGCATCTGGTTGTACTCTGGGTAGATTCGGCAATTACCCCGGCTGAAGTACGGGTAAGGTCTGGAGCTCTACTGGAGCTGACACACGATCCCGGAGCTCGCCCACAACACAGCCGGACTTATGCCGCATCAGCCGCAGGGATGCGGAGCCGTGGAAATTTCAGACAGCTCCGGCTCCGGCTCTGGCTTTGGAGAAAAAATCGGCTCCGGCTCCGGGCAAAATGTGTCGGCCCCGGCGGCTCCGGCTCCAGCTCCGGCTCCGGCTCCGCACCTCTGATCAGCCGTGCCGTGCCTCAATCGTACTTCAGTCACAATAACCTAGCCCGCGCCCCGCTGGGGGGGGGGGGCAGAATCTGCCCCCCCCCTCCCGTTTTTCGCCAATAACTTCTAAACGCGTTACGCCAGCGACGTCAAACTTTCAGTACCTTATCATACATCAATTTGACACGTTCCCTGAAAATTTGAACGAAATCCGTCGGAAATTTTTGAGAAATTGACGTTTTAGTGACGTCATGTTCGCCATTTTCGCCTAAAAAACGGCAAAATTTCAAACGCCGCTAACATCTTCATTTTTAAAGGAATCAAGACGTAACATAAAAGGTTATACGTGATTCCACGTTGTCTATCAAATGGCTATCTCGGTTTTTTGAAAATTTTGGATTTTGGCCCAAAATTTTTCAAAAAACTGATTTTTTTGGAAAAATAGTTATAAAATCCAAAATTTTGAGTGTATCGAAAAAACCGGAATATATATCAGAAGTGGTCAATGTGCATCTACATACCAATTTTCAGAAGAATCGGTTCAAAAATGTGGGAGTTATTCAAAATTTTATGACGTCACGACACACAAATTTTTTGAAAAATGATTTTTTTGGAAGCTCTAGACCTCGTACGGAAACAAAAATAGCACCATTCGATTCGCCGTGAAAAACTGCATCAGATAGACACCTTTTTGGGCCTTAACAACCAACTTCAAAATTTGATCTCACTTGACCTGACCTTGACCTGACCTCGACCTGAAATTCATCCAGAGGTGGTCCATATCACTTATTGAGTGTGCCTATTGAATTCTATGAGTAAAATGAACCATAAAACATGTGTCGCACATGTCCTTTTCTATATTTTGTTTTTGGTGACCTGACCTGACCTGACCTGACCTTGACCTTGACCTTTGAATGACATTGTATGCAACGAATATTGTCTTGGTAGTCTAAGAACACGTTTTGGGCAATCAGTCTCAGTCCATTCTTCGGCAACTACGGTGCAAGGCCGATACTGTAGAAACTTGCATTTTGTACCCTTGACCTGACCTTGACCTGACCTCTGACCTACTTAAGCAAAAAATTTTGGGCTCTTAAGATCCGCCTTGTTGAGAGCTTTCGATTGCCGTTTTCCCCGTCTTTCTACGACCATCGGTTCGGAAGTTAGACAGGGGGGGCAGAATCTGCCCCCCCCCCCCAGCAGGGCGCGTATGGCTGAATAGCCCAGCGGGGGCGGGCTAGGGTAGCTACGAGGCAGCCGGACCTGGCCGTAGCACGCCTTGGCAGGGAGCCGGTCTTTATCCAGACTTGGCGGTCCGAAACCATACCAACTCCGGAGCGCTACGGCAAAGGCTGGCTAACCGGAACAGAGCCATATCGACGCAAACCCCCTGTTATGACGGCGTTCCGTTTACACTGCCCCAACTCTGGCATGTCGGAGCTGCCGGGGCAAAACGGACTTGAGCCGAACCAAATTGCTGCTGGGTAGAGGCCATGCCGCTAACCTTTCAAACGGTATTTTTTCAAGTCTGATGGCGGGGAACCAGAGACCCTTAGTGGTAAGCGTAGCCCCTCAGGGACCCCATGCTGGCTTTATATGGCCCAGTTGCCAGTTATCACTTGTGAGGCGCGTTCCGGACACCACCCAGCTGGGCCTACGGTCACCCACAACGGGAGCATGCTCCAATAGGAGCTATTCTCACATAACGGTAGCTGCCCAGCCAGGCACCAGGTGTTGCATGGTGGCCGTGGGGATGACAATGGAAGGCATTTGAGCATGCCCCGAGGATGGGCACAACATATTAACACGCGCCCTGGTGTTGGTGAGGGGGGGGGGGCTATTTTTCGCCCCCCCTCCAGATTTTTCGATACCTATATCTCCAGAACCGCGGCGCCGGTCGTCACCAAACTTTCAGTACCCTCCCGGGCATCAATTTTACACATGGCGACCAAAAATATTTTCTAAAGGTTATGATAGTTTGATCGCAAGAGTGACGTCATGTTTTGTCATTTTCGAACCAAAAAAAAAAAAATG